TGCTTTGGTGGAAGCTGCTGATGCTCTGTGACATTTTCTGACAGAGGGTGCAAAACTCCAGCAGTGTCAGAGGTACATGGCTAAAAGGTACCACACAAAAGATTTAAGTCCTGTGTGGCTAATGCTTGAATGTGTTATCTTAAAGCTCTGGTGACCTGCCGGCCGGATGAATTCCAATGTGGCGATGGGACCTGTATCCACGGAGCAAAGCAGTGTGACAAGGTGCATGACTGTCCTGACAACAGCGACGAGGCAGGCTGCATCCAAGGTAAGTACAGACAACTCTGCACTCCTTGTGCTCTGTGGCGTGAGCCTGCGAGAGCTGTGTGGCCGTTGGAAAGCGAAGAGGCCTGTGCTGCTCCTCTGGGCCATGGCAGGCAGCTTCCTGTAGAGAGTTTTAAACCATTCTGGCAGTGGGGTTGCTTGGGAGAGATGATTGTGCTGATCAGGCAGACTGCATGACTTGAAAAGTTCCTTGCATGATACTCAGGCTTAATGTTCATTTGCTTAATCCCATCCCATTTCTGCTAATGACACCCTCTTGAAGCTTTATGTCAGGCTTTTTGTTGTCATGAGCCTCGTCTAACTTAGTTGCTTTCCTCTCTTGCCCAACATGACAGAGTCAGCATGTGAAAGTCCCAGCAAGTTTCAGTGTAAGAGTGGAGAGTGCATTGACGGAGGCAAAGTGTGCGATTCACATAGAGACTGCAGGGACGGGTCTGACGAGCCTCTGAAAGAATGTGGTACAGTACTTGCCTTCTACGTGTTGCTCCTGTTGTAACTGCTTCCCCTCTCCTCCATCTGGTGCTCACAGCTTTGAGTGTAACCACATGTAGCTGCTAATGCTATTTCTCACTCTGCTCCTCTTTCCTTGCCTTTATTCTCTCATCACCCTTCATATGAATATAATTAGTAGGCTAGTCTGATCATCTGCAAGTTTGAACTGTGCCCTTCTCAACTCAGCTTTTATTCTTGGAGGGATGTATGAACGGAGCATGGGACTAGGAACCAAGAATTCCCCCTCTCACCAGATACTAGTGTCCTCCACAGCACAGACCAGTTTATTTAGCCTCATTGCCTAAATTATCTTTGAATTGTAAGACGATGATAACATCATAAAAACTTAGCATTGGGAACATGCTTTGAAGGTGAAAACACATAGAGTGACAGCAATCACTGAGAGATGACTTCAGCCATTTCTGGGTTTTACATGTTGTCACTGCTTCCCTTAGAAATGGGAGCAGGTTGCTCTCTGCAGTGTCCTGCCAGCTCTGGGCTAGCAAGAATGCACAAGCCATGAGAGCTGGGTCTGCATGGGGGCTGTCAGGGTCAGCAGAACGGAAAGCCCAGGCCAGAGAGCTGTGCCGCTTTCGCTAGGGCAGCCCCTCTCTCACCTTTCCCACCAGGCATTGTGTGTACCAGCCCCAATCTGAAGCATTACTCAAACACATTTGGTTTTTTCCCCAGTGCGGAAATGTCTCAGGCCGGCATCCCTTTCCATGACATCAGGGAGCACCAGTAGCATGGAGCTCAGCGCCTGCCTCTTAAATAACTCACATTCAGGAAGAACTGCCAGTCCTTCCTCTGTATCAGACAAGAAGTGTGTGTGCATGCCTAGCAAGGATGCTCTTAACCTTGTGCTTTCAGTATGCCCTTGCTTTCTTCCACACTAACCCACATCTCCCTGTCTTTCTGAGTGGGTGTTGGAACTTGTCTGTCTGTGGAGGTTTCCCAACAAAGCTGGCAGCCCAGTTTGTCTTAGGAGACTGGGCAGTGGCACAGCACAGCTGGGCTAGGCGCTCAACCTTATGGTGGTGCCGTGGCTGACTTGGTGCAGTCCCAGGCTGTCAGTGAAGTGTCGTTTGAGTTAGGAAGCTGAGCAGAGAATAGCCCCGAAAAGGAAACGTGTTTCTTTAAGAGTGCAGAATGATGTGGATTGCTGTGAATGTAATGCCCATGCACAAGTAATCCACACAGAAGGCAGGAGGTACAGGACATGCACCTCATCTTGGTGTGTCTGTCTAGCTGTGTGCTAGACACTGCAGTGTCCTCCGAGATTCCCCCAAAAAGCACGGCAGAAGACAGAACATCACTTGTCTTATTTTAGGCAGGCAGTGAATATACTGCTGAAGTTTGGGTAATGGGCAGCAGCTGCCCAGCAGAAAAACAGGGTAACATCTCTGCCTGGCTCCTCCTCAGCTCCTGTTGAGAAGTGCAGCAAGTAACCAGCACTTGATTAAGTCTCTAAATCCATTCCACAAAGCACCTTTGAAACCATGGGAATCATCTGAGTGAAGGTTTGCTTGTTAGTCAAAACAGCCTTTGCAGTATTTTGCAGAGAGCAGCTGTGCATGTTTATGACCCAATTTGCTAGAGGCCTATGCAAGTGTAAGAATAGGTGATATCCATTAATAAACATCACTGAACAGTGATAACACATAATGTAACTCTGTGGACACCTTCTTGGAGCCTAGTGAACTTCATCTGTTAATGATGTATTGGTATCTGTATGTGTGTGTGTATTAGATAGGAAGGTGAAAGCATTCCAGAGCTGAGATGGGGTTCCTTCTGGCATGGTATTTTCCTAGTCTTACTGACTTAATTGGCTTGTGGTTGTTTTCATTTTCTTCTAAGACCACTGGTTTAATGGCTCTGCTGTACTGCTCACCTGCAGTGTGCAAGGAAGTAAGAAGTAAAAGATAAATGAAAAATTTGCCTTTAAATTGCATTGATTGAAGCAAATCAGTTTTGTTGGTTCAAGTGAGCCCACTATCCCTGAAATCCCGCAGCTTCTTTTCAGCAGTCTTACTTAGGGAGCGGACTTTCTCTTCACCTTGTGTAGGTTAATTACAACAACAAGAAATGTTATTTCTGACAGGAAACCAGCTTTCCTCAACCTCTCATTCAGTTCTAGTTACAAGGATCCGTTTAGTCTGTTTTTCATTTCAGCACTTGAAAGCAGGATCAGAGAGGTGGCCTTGGATTAGCCAGGGACCCAGGAGGGGATGGGGGCTGTTGCTTCATAAATTGCACACTTGGGCTGATGCAGGCTGCCAGCAGAGACTGTTGTGTGGGAGGTGTTTGTGGGAGGACTGTATCTCAGTGCTAATGGAGTATCTCTGACAGACTGTACTCTGGTGTTTTCTGGAATTTTCACATAGATCATTCCTTGGAGCTAGATGGGAAAATAGTACAGTATTTCAAAATAGCTGGCCCCTGGGAGATGAGACTCCCCCAGCATGAATTATTAAAGCTCAGAGAGACTGTTCAGAAAAGTCAACATGAACCAGCGCATGGGGAAGAAGGAGTCTCCTGGAGAGAAGCCGTCAGTCCCTTGGAAGTTCCTCGCATGTGGCAGAACATGCTCAAAGCAGCAGCTCTCTGATGGGATGAGATGCAGATTCACACACACTGTATCCCCAGGGCTCCCTGTTAATTTAGCCACTGGCTTTCAGTCCAAATGATCCTACAGTGTTGGTTTGGAATAATAAAGAGCAAGAAAGTGATACGGTGTTAGCTTCCTATCTGTGAAGTCACTTATATGCTCTGTGGGGCCAGCTCCTGGCTACCAAAAGCTCATAGATATGGGAAAATTTGTGAGGACCTCTCTTAATTTTATTCAGTCTTACAACTAAAAGCCCTCTTTTGTCATAGATAATCTGTATATCCTTTCCAGGTATTAATGAATGCTCTATGAACAACGGTGGTTGCTCACACATATGCAAAGACTTGAAGATTGGTTATGAATGTGAATGCCCGCTCGGATACAAGCTTCTGGATAAAAAAACGTGTGGAGGTAATTTACATGCAAACAGCAGTCCCTTGTGTTTCACCATACAGAGACATGATTATATTCACTTCAGCATTGCTCCATCACAGATGGTTTGATTTCAAGTTATTGATGGGTTTCAAACACTCCTTTCAGACATAGATGAATGTGAGAATCCAGACGCTTGTAGCCAGATCTGCATTAATTACAAGGGGGACTACAAATGCGAGTGCTACGAGGGATATGAGATGGACACCCTGTCCAAGAACTGCAAAGCTGTAGGTAAGACAGTGCCATAGGCACTTAAACTCTGCTTGCTCAACATCACAACTCCGATAAGAAAATATGCTTGCAGGGCTGAGGCTAGGGGAACAGAAACAAAAGAAAACTAGCAAAGCAAGCAAGCAAAGACATTTCATTTCGAGCAGCACAGAACTGCTGCAGTGATAGCAGATGCGTCTCTAGGCAAGAACTACTGATCATGCAGATCAGAATATTTTAACAGTGTACAGAGCAAGATTACAGTCACTAGTTGGCTGTTTGAAGCTGAAACTAGAAACAAAAATCTCTTGACAGGTGTTACTGAAAACAGTGCAGCAAAAACATTTAGTGGTAGTAGTATTAAAAGGAAGAAAACACCCCAATTAAAGCACGGTAGGGTAGCCACCTCTCCACCCTCCCAGCCTCTATGCAAATACCAACACAAACACCAGCAGTTTGCTCAACCTTATTGCAAAAATGGATATTAATGTCAGAGGGATAGAAAGTTGAATTGTGCAAGACTGAGTATTAGCCATGCTGGGGGTTTCTTTAATGGAAATGGTGGGTCTCTTGAGGAAGGGTGAGTTACCTGCAATACAAGATTGCCTCTCTAGTGTTATCCTGCTCATCCATGTGACCTCTTTCTTCCCAGGTTCTATATGGTATGCAGAGTGTCCTTCTGTCCTCATAAAGTCTGTTAGTCTCACATCTGCAGTGAGTCAGGACTGACCCAAAGCCTGGGACACTGATCTGCTTGTTGGTTAGAAAATGCTGTTGTGCCTGAGAGCCTGTGCTGGGAGCCCTGCAGCACAACATGTTCCAGAGCTAGAACCTTGTCCCAGCTCTTCCCTTTCAGTATCATGTTCCTGAATCCCCTTTTGTCCTTCCCAGTGGAAAGATGCTCTTCACTAGGATCTTCTACTGGCCACTGTTGGAGACAAACCAGTGTAAGCCACTAAAGCTCATTCTGAGCTTCCCATCCTGTCCCCGCCTCAAACAGGGAGGTCCACAGAGCAAACTAAAGCTTTAGCTGTTTGACTCGTAGCTTATTTTAGTGACACTTTAAGAACACAGAGAATCACGTGCTCTGCTTACTTGCAGAGGGCGAGGATGTGCACCTCTTGGTCTGAATTTAGAAACATAGGTGTCTGCCTCCTACAGTAGCAAACTGGCCTCCATTGGGCCCACTGTGAATAACCATGGAGGGCTGGTTATGATCTTCTAAGCAAAATAACTACTGGGTTTCTATGTGTCCTGCTTTCCTGTCTTTTGGAAAATTCAGGTCAACTTTACGCTTTTTGAGAGGCTCTGGCCTGAGATCATGGCTGCAGTAGCAGTATCGCCAGCAACCAGGCTGCAGGCTCTGGCCCCACAAAAAAGAGAGTTTGAACTGCCTGAGCCCAAGTGGTCAGGTGGACTGTGTGAGTTCTGCATGTACGTGACAGTCTAAAATTCCTCCCTGGCAACCAGTCCTGGCCTTGCTGGATTCAGTGTGGCTCTATCATGCCTCAAGTCTGGCTGCCTCCCTTCCCTCCAGCCAGCTCAGAGGGCAGTCTCTTCCTTGTCCTGGCCATGAGTCACCAAAATCTGGCCCACGTATTTTGTATCTGAAATATGTAACTGAAGGTGAGGACATTCCCCAGAGTTTTTCTTGGGCAGACCAAGACCCAGTGTGCATCTAGTGACCGCAGAGGTGCTGCAGTCCCCCATGTCCACATGTGATAGCTCTGCCTCTGGAAGCCATTTACACTTGCTTCTGGTGTGGCGTAAAGCTTCCTTACAAAGCAGAACTATCAGTGACTGATAGTTCTGTTGTTGTTTGAGAAATGAAAGCTGAATCCAGCCCTTGAGTCAGCTGCTAAAATGACAAATGTGGTTATTTTCTGTGGTAGGCAAGAGTCCGTACCTGATCTTCACCAATCGCCATGAGGTCCGTAAGATAGACCTGGTGAAAAGGGACTACTCCCGCATCATTCCCATGCTGAAGAATGTCGTGGCACTGGATGTGGAGGTGTCAACAAACAGAATATATTGGTGTGATTTGTTCTACCGAAAAATCTACAGGTAAGGGGCAAGAGAGGATGTGTGTTTTGGTACCTTTCCAAAGCTGTGGTTCGATCTGTACCCTTTAAGGACAATCTGCAGAGAAACAATGCAGGGTACAGTGAACCTGAGGGGTTTTCTTCCCTTACCAGATTACCTGTTGTGGCCCAGACTTTGTAAGCTTTTTTGGTAATTGATAAAGAAATCAGGGGCTTGTGCAGTTACCTGGTTTGATAATACAGGAAGGCTTTTCGTCAATAATAGATCCTGCTGCATTTGTGCAATTACACGTAGACTCTTGTTTACTGAATCATAATATGGCTAAGCGATGCTGCGTGAGACTGCTGCTGTGCTGTGTGCTTGCTGTACGTGAAACCAGAAAGGACATGGCATCTAAAAGCACAAAGGAGGCAAATGGTGGGAGCAAGGAGGTAGCAACATAGATACTAGCTGCCCACTGCAGTCTCTGGTAGACTGGATTTAAATTCACAGCACTTGACCACAGGACACATTCTGTAATTCTCATTCTCCCTCTTCCTTCAGCTGTTTTTGTGGCATCCATCACAGTATTATGTACCGGGGCTTGTGAGTGTGCCTAGTTAAAAATGCGTTTAATTTATGTGCTGAAAATCCCCCATGTATATTCTGATTTGCATAGCTATTGCACCCTATTGCAGCTTCTACAGTGATTTGTTCTGGATTTTAGCTAATGATCAGGCAAAGGTTGATTTGTTTCAGTGTGTGGAAGCCAAGCCAGGGTTTCTGCAGGCTGTGGTAGCTCCCATTCCATTGGCAGGGAAATATGCCCAGGCTGTGCTGAGTATTAAGCACTCAAGTAGCTAGGCAGGTACCCTGAGCAGGCCTGTGGGGCTCTGACAATGGGGACATGGTTCAGAAGGAAGCTGGCTGCTTTCACTGTGTCTGATTCTGTCGGCACAGGCAGGGGTGGGTAAGGGCTTTGTATTCATACACAGAGAATTATTCAAGACACACTGCTCCTTCTGCAGCTCTCTGACAGTGAATGCCCTGGGGCGCTGGGGGCCACTGAACAGTGTTCATACCCTGAACGTGGCTATACCAAGCCTTTTTCTTTTTCCAAACAACAGAATTTTTGTCTTTCTTACTCCTGCTTGCATTAGCTTTGTTGTAAGTCCCAACTTTTCTGCAGAGCCAGCTGTGCAATTATAACTTCTTAACAATTAATGTTCCTGTTTAAGATACTGCTACTGTCACTAATATCAAACACTTCTCAACAAAAGGCCACCATGTCCTTCCAGCAGAGAACAGGACTCCGCCTGCAGGAGTCCTCTGGGGAAAAGCAGTCTATAGTTGAGAGGCTATTGCAAGGTGAAAACTATGGTACAGGAGGGAACTGCTGGCAAGAGATCCCATCTTTCTTAATGCTCACCTCACTCGCCTTGACAGATCCTCTCCTATTGAGGTGATGTCCCCTTTGGGGTGTCAGAAGATCTTTTACAATATTTAGTTACTGGGAGAATTGAAATATCACCTGTATTTCAGCCCTCCCATTCTGAAAGCCACAGGAGGCTCTCTCGGCTTCCCCACCAGTGCAGGGAGTCACATTGGGGCTACAGCGCAGCAGCTTACCGCAGTGGTGGATGAGAAGTATTGAACACGACTGTTTCACTGGGGAGGAATTAACTGACCTGGAGTTGTGTAGTTAGAACATGTGGCACTCGTCAGACTAAAATAACAGTCTTGGGAACACTGTCAGATGCCCTGCAGAACCCCAGTGATACCGTTCATTTGGTGTTGGGTCAGAGAGAAACCAAAACCATTCCTTGTAGTGAAGATGCAGTAGCGTGCTGTTAATCCAGGCTGACTCTGCATAGCCATTCCAGCCTGGGCCACAGACCATAAAACAGTGTCAAGAATCTGTGGTTTTAGACATTTGTTTCCAAGTCTCTAATCTGATACTTGAGCGCTCAGCTCCCATACAACTTACTTTCTCATTCCATGACCAAAGGCAGGATAGGCAGTGAACAGGAGATGTAAACCATCTTGCAGTTTCAAATGTCTGGGCGGGGGTTGGAAACTTTCTGCTGTTTTGTAACTTTTTTAAGATCTACCAAGTTATTCTAAGAGCCAGACTAAGCTCTTAGAAATACTGATGCAAGCTCAGAATAACTCCATTTCGTTTCACCCAGTGTGACTGATATTGGTACAGGGGCAACAGAGCAGAATCAGCCTGCGTGCTTGTAGGAGCAACACTGAGTTATTTATGAAACATCCATGTGGAGTTTGCTGCCTTTCATTAGCGTTTTGAAAGATTTTGAGGCTACCACTGATATTTAGTGAACATTTTCTTTGTATCTGATGAGATCACTTGCAAAATTAGTACAGCTCCATGAATTCCTTTGATGAATCATAATTAGTTACACAGGTCCTAATTCTGCAATACATTTAAGCACATTTATTTGCAGGCTAAGTTCAACTCTGTTCAGCAGAGCACTGTATTACATTGCTAATATAAGAGCACTGTATTTCTAATGTCCAATGAATCGATGGTATTGAAGCTAATGTGCCTGAAGTCAAATGTTTTGCTGAATTGTGCAGTTATAGCAGGAAGCAGGTAGAAAAATAAAGTTACAGTTCCCTATTCTGGAAATCCCTGCCGTCCAGATACAGGGAAATAAGAACAAGTTGTAGGAGAAAGTGGAAGGTTGCAGCATGCAGCCATAAGGGTTTCCATGTCAGTCATGCTGCCGCATGTGCATTTTCTTTGCATAGGGTTGCAGTGCTGCTACCAGGCATTCAGCTGTCTGAGGTCCAACCCCCATGCACATGTGCATGGCCCTCTCCATGCCATGTGTCAGTCCAGTGACGAGTCCTGTCTTTGCAGTGCCTACATAGACAAAGCGAGTGACACAGCTGAGCAGGTGATTTTGATAGACAGCCAGCTGAACTCTCCTGAAGGACTGGCAATAGACTGGGTTCATAAGAATATCTACTGGACAGATTCGGGAAACAAGACCATCTCAGTGGCCACTGCAGATGGAAGCAGGAGGAGGACACTTTTCAACAGTGACCTCAGTGAGCCAAGAGCTATTGCTGTTGATCCCACACGGAGGTAGGTGTAAAGACCACAAACACTCCCTTCGCCAACAGAGATGTTCCAGTCTTCTTTCTGCCTCTCTTACAAACTTGTGGGTGGTTCTCATCTCATCAAGACTTCAGATGCCTTTTAAGATAAGTAGATCCACTGAACTTAAATGGGCCTGCTGAGATGATTCAACTAACTCTTTGCAAGGTCACTCCCATTAAAGAAAGTTCTGAAAATAATGGTCAGGTCATGTGTTTGATGGGCCTGAGCTGGTCCAGGCACATAGGTTGAGCTGGGAAATGAAGTAGTCTGTCTGACATGTGTATGGGATACGTGGATTAAGTGAAGTCTACATACTTAGCAGACACACCAGGAGATAGTTTGCATGGGGTTACTAAGGTGTGATTTTGCATTCTGGTGCAAGTTTTGTGGCAGCGTACCCTGTGGGACAGTATGTGGCTCCACTAGGTGCATATCAGAATTAACTGAAGTGGCTGAGGGGCTTTGCTATAATAAGGAGAGAACAGGGCACCTCCTACTCCAATTAGTAGCGCAGATTTCTTACACTAGAGTCCAATTTACTGTTTTCTTGCATCTGTCTCTTTCAGGTTCATGTACTGGTCTGACTGGGGAGACAAAGCTAAGATCGAGAAAGCTGGCCTGAATGGCATGGGGCGGCAAGTGCTGGTGACTGACAACATTGAGTGGCCAAATGGCATCACACTTGGTAAGAGCCCAGGTTAGAGCTACAGCGTCCACTGTGGCTGACGTAAATTTATTTTTGTTGTTAAATAGGAAAACAAAATTGTAAATATGCAAAGGCACCTGCACACAAAAATCCTGGAAATACTCTGTCCTGTGAGCAGAAATACTGCTCAGCGCCACAAGCGATTTTCAGTAGCAAGCATAGGCAGTAAGTCTTGCCACAGTCAGAGCCTCATACTGCAGGAGCTTTGAGTTGGTTTTAGGTGTGCCTTATGGCAAAGGGAAATTTGTGGGGAGGATGCAGAGCTGCAAACAACCCTTTGGAAGTCCAGGAAGCATCAGAGAGTCCTTGGTGCTAGTGTGTCTGGACCCAGCCCTGTCTCAGAAGCAGTGTCAAGATACTTCATTGGCCTGATTAATGCACAGTACATCAAGGAAAGACACACAGCCTGCAGAGCCCACTCCCTGTCAACATGCCTGCCCAGCCGCTCTGGGTGGGGATAGCGAGATGGAACCCATCTTGGCTCGTTTCCTGCATCCTGCTGGCCCACACAGGGCTGTGGTTGTTCTCGCTGCCGCACCAAGTTGCAAGAGTGGAAAGGAGGTTTCCTGCCCTCACAGGGCAGCAGGGGACACCCTCCTCTGGAGTTACAGCCATGTGTGTTTAACGCCATGCAGATGTGAGGTTCTCGGCTTGGTTTTGTATTGGAAAATTCTGGCCATGGCAAGGATGTAGGAGAAAATGCTGCTACCATAGCATAGTGCTGAAATGCTACTGCTGTGAACAAATGTTATCATTCAGTAATTAAGAAATTAATTAGTGACTTGTTTAATTACAGAACTTGTTTTGTGTTGGCACTCCTCCACTTGCATTCTGTTTAGTGAATCTCATCCAAAATTAGTGAATTTGCTCCAGGAAGAGAAATTCAGTGCTTAGCATTCTAAATAACATTGGATCCTTCCCTCCCACTCTTACCTGCACCCTCCCCAACACCTGGCTGGTTGTGGTAGGAGTGTCCCCACCACCAGCATTCCCCCATTCTGCAGCACAAGAAGGGTTTCTGGACCCAGGGTTCTTCTTCCCTGAAAATGTGTAAGTTGCACAGCTCCTTCAGAGAGGTGTTTCATTTGAATCACAGTTGTTCTCCAGCAAGAGGCCAAGGACTGAATACCCTTGAGAGGGATGAAGCTTCTTGCGCAGGCACTGATGGAGTGACTCTGGGAAGCCCAAACTGCTGCTGGCCTGTGGCTCTGGTAACAAAGGAACCTCATTGTACAAAGCTGTCAGCCAGGCATACCCCCCCCACACCCCCCAAAATGTTCCTCCTCTTTAATCTTTTTTATAGGGTCTTATCCCAGCATATCTGGGCACTGATTCAAGATCAGAACTAGTGGTTAAAAAAAAAAAAAAAAGAGGCCCAATAATAAAGAGATTAGTCATGCTGCCAGCATGAAAAACATGCTGGGCAAGAGAAAAAAGAGTTGCAGGAGCTGTGTGTAATTTTGCTTCATTGTGTTTCACTTCTCAGATTTGCTGAATCAGCGTCTCTACTGGGTAGACTCCAAATTGCATTCACTGTCCTGCATTGATTTCAATGGCAGCAACAGAAAAGTTCTGATCTCCTCTGTTGACGATTTGAGCCATCCTTTCGGCTTAGCAGTGTTTGAGGTAAGAGTCGAAAACGGATGCAGAACAGACTGGAGACTGCAAGAGGTCTCAAAGCTCTTCTTGATTAAAAGCTCTGCCTTTTGCATAGCACAGAAAGCTCAGCGAGGGCGTTTGCTACTATAGAAACTGATTAACCTGGTGTGGG